GCAGCAGCAACGGCAGCACCAAGTACAAGAACCCAAAAAACGTCAGGTCTCAGCACTGATAGAAAAGGGAAAAAAGAGAAACACAAAGAAAGCTGCAACTGCTAGCCGAGAGACAAACTGACGACGACGAATAGCAGTAGCAGCAACACCAGCAACACCAGAACCTAGAAAGGCAGGAGAAGAAGCAACAGAGACAAATGAGGCCTTGCTGCAGTAGCTGTGGTTGTTACTGCAGTTGAATTTGCTGCAGTATTTGCTATGCAGCAGCAAACGGCGGTGCCAACCACTGCTACAGCTGCTGATGCCCGCGCTGCTGCTGCCGCTGCTGCTGCTGCTGCTGCTGCTGCTGCCGCTGCTGCTGCTGCTGCTGCTGCGGGGGACCGCAGCAACAGCCAGGGCTCAGGTTCAGGAGAGCTGCAGCAACTGTTGCTGCCTTCTCAGAACCAACTGCTTTATTTATAAGAAAACACAACCGAAGAGTTGAAAACAGAAAAGGAGAGAGACAGAAGACGAGACAGGCAGCCAGGTGCAAGCAGCAACACAAGGATTAGGTTAAGAGTAGAGAAGAGAGGCCTAGGAGGCTCCTCTTGGTGGTTTGTTACGGCGTCAGCAGCGACGAACACGAATATTTTTTCTACAGAAAGCAGAGAAATAACACAAAACAACAACACAAACACCACAAAGAGGCCCTTCATACGCTAGATACATCACCAGCAACGCAGCCCTACTGCTGTGCTGCTGCTAGAGGGGTGTGCTGCTGCTGCTGCTGCTGCTGCTGCTGCTGCTGCTGCTGCAGCTGGGCTGATGCTGCTGCAGTATATGCTCTGCTGCAGGCCATCTGTTACCACCATCAACTCTGATTTAATTATTAAATTCTTTTTTATTCTTTTCTTTTCTTTTTCCTCAGGATTTTCTTCTCTCGCACACATAAACAACACCGCTATATACACACCCGTGTTGCTCACCAGGCGCGTCGGCTTGGCTGTACATAGGGCGCGGGGCAGCTCCCAATGCACTAGATAAAGACCGTATAAATATGTATCTTTTCTGCTTTTTATGCATTTCAACTGTTGCTTTTTACATTTGAACTCAAAAAAACAGAGGAACTCCCCGCTAACTGCAGCAGCTAGCCCCCTATACAGTATACAACCCCCCCACACCCCCACGAGAGCAGCAGCGCCCCGCAGATAGCGTTGCGGGTCCCCTCGTTCTGTGTATAAGGGAGATATTTATGTTGTCTTTATTTGTAATTTGTTTGAAATAATGTATATTTATTCTACTCCAGCTCCTTTAAGGATATATTTACTTAATTTTTTATTTCTCCCGCTCACTGCCGCGCTGTAACGATGGCCCTCGATCTTAGCCGACGACACCGCTAGCAGCAGTTATGTTAAAACTATTTTCAATAAAATAAATCCTAAACGCAAGCTTTAATCACCCATACAGTATCTAGAACTCTGGAGCACAGCGGCACAGAGTGATGGGGCTAACTGTGAAGCGGAGAGGAAACTGCGAATTATGTCTACCCGGTTGCACCGCTTGCTGCAGCCGCTCCTCCTCTGCAGAAACAATATATGTGAGCATAGAAGCCGATCCCTCTTTGTATGCACGTACTGACGCCGTAGGCAACTGCTGACCGCATACCTAGCCCTCTGAGGAGTAAACCTACACGTAATGTGATGCTTGGCCTGCTACATGTGCTTCTACTTGCACACAAGGTGACTAGTAGGGGCTACATCTGCGTTCAACAATTTTTTACAGTGCTAGAGCGTGCAACAAAGGGGGATTGGGCGTGCTAGCATCTGGATCCGCCGTACAGCACCAGCTGCAGCGGTGTCCTTTGTAACTCATGTCAGGCAGCCTCCTCTCCCCCGGTATCATGCTCTTGAGCCTCCTGGCCCAGACCGCGAGGGGACTCAAGAGATTTCATCAGTTTTCTGGAACCTCTTGTATGCAGTGTCAGGTCTGTTAAAGCTCGCCGTGGCTCTCGAATAAAGTCGAGGACTGTCGTTACGCAATATGCAACATGGTAACGCTGCAGTTGATACATATATTTCTACTGGTGAACACTGACTGGTTATTAATGGCCAAGCAAGTGGTTCACGATTGCCTTCACCGTCATTGCATGCACCACATGAGTCTTGGCGGTGTTTGTATGCGGGCTTACCTCGCAGCGCCCGCTGCGGGGACGTGCACTGCGGCTCATGAGTCGCAGCCTGAGAATCTTAGCAGCCTGAGGCCATTGCGCTGCTATTCCAGAACGCCTGGAGGCCCCAGGTGATGTCAGATACTTTTGGCCAGCTCTTATCTTAAGTCCTTTTGCGACAGTAGAGTCAGACTCTACTGCTGCTCGCAACATTCTTCAGCTACGTTCAATGACTCTCACCCCACTTGGTAGCACCGCCTGGTTTGCCGTGGCCGATGCGAGCAGCGAGACTCACCCCCAAAGAAGGGCGACTTTTGCACAACATTGAATACTGGAGAAGGCGCTCTGTAGTAAAGAAATATTTTGGTAATATTTGTCAAAAATCCAACCTGTTTTTCCCTTCGCAGAATGGGGATTGAGCAAGATATAGCCTTGGATGTGCAACCGGAAAATGCCTGGACGCCTTGTCGCACTAGACAGCAGCTCGCGAAGAAGGTCTCTGTGCTTACTGCCATATATGGGGAGTACCGTCATGCGGGGGCAATGGGGGAGTTCCTTGCTTCCCTCGAGTTAAATTTTTGCCTTCAAGGCGCACCTGAAGAGCTCCTCTTGCCTCTTCTTTATTTGCATGGGACGCGAGGAAAATACAATGGTGTGTATATGAGTTTACATCTAAACAACAGCTCGGCTTTTCGGGCTATGGAGGCCTTCCGATAATCATTGCGGTGTAGGCTCATTCCTTGGTCGGCAAGGGAATTGAGTATGGCAACACCGAAAAGGCTTACGCGAGAAAGCCTATCGAACTCGCGCTACATATAATGATGAAAGTCTCGCTTGCTGGCTTTGCCGGCTCATGCAGTACGGCTGGACGGTCAAGTATATCAAGGGTATCGCCAACAGGGTCTTTGACGGATGTTTCCAACAGCCCACCCGTCAGGCACTTTCTCCCGCAACTGCGATTATCTGCAGCGTTTCTTAATTCTTGCCTTAACTGCATAATTCTTGACCTTAGTGATTCCCAGGGCTTCGGTTATTGTCAAACATAACATAGAATGCCTGGTTCAGTACAATAGCAAAGAGGAGGAACGGTCTCATGTGGTACCAGACGAAGCATAGACCCCGAGGATTGCACTGTCGAACTGTGTTTCTCAAATATCGCTGGGAAAGACACCTGATCCTTCTTTAACGGGCAACCATGTACTCCGCACCACAACATCGCAGGTGTCAAAACTGTTCTGCAGATGCGGGATAGTTTCAAGCTTGGTATCCCTGGCTATGGGGCTCAAGATAAGCCACAAAAAAGAAATGAAGTTCTGAATATTGCAGAGGCTTGTAAGCGAAATTGGCAGGATTTCTTGACGCGCTTCACACCCGTTAAACCCGTTGAGCATGAGCATCAGTCAGTGGCTACGACAGCACCTCTGTTGTTGCGGGTGGATTCAGCTTATATCTCCACTTCAATTCCTACTGACATGGATCCGAAGTGTATATTCTGGTGCGTGTTCATGAAGTGGCTCAAAATTGAGCATAGCGTGGACAATGTGAGCACGGCGGCGGCAGACAATCAGAACGAACTCACGAATTGCAATTTCTTTTGCAATATTTGCAACTCTGTACCAGGCAAAATCCATGGAAGAGGCTTGCTTTTCTCGTCTGTGACGATTTGGGTTATAATACAGCACTCCCCTTTTCTGTCTGTTGTTCTCTGACTACTGTAGTCAGCTCCAATGTAACATGAGTTAGCGCAGAGTTAGCTGAGGAGCCTATTGACAGCTTTGGCAGGCTGCGCGTAAGCGT